ACCTCGCGCGTGTCAATGATTGCAAGTAGCATTGAATGAGCCTCACATCAGCAACCATGCATATTGCAAGGAAACCTTCTTATGCAACTAATTAACAACAGGTAATGTGAATTTGATAGATTATTTCTACCTTAAAAATTACTGAACTTTGGCGCAAATAATTTTGGGACACCCTGTAGTAGTTGGCGTAGCCAAATACTCTGGTCAAGTTGTGGTAACATCAGATTAAATCCTAGAATTTGGCGCCTAAAAGATGGTCTGTAATTGACTGTGGATGCCCAGAACAGTCTTAGACTTCCGGTACTTGAGAAGTATGGATCAGGCTGTGAAGGCTCGAATCAACACTGCGTGTATGGATGGATAGAGTCCATTGATATCTTCAAGCGATGATGCTCTGGCTGCTCAAGAGAGAGGTGTTCGGAACAGCAATAAGGCTCACGATGCTCTGCACCAATGAGTGCTATGTCGTTAGCAAGAACCATGTGAGGCAACTCCATTTCCAGGAATGAAGATGGGAAAGCAGTTGGAGGAGACTTAACCGTAAAAAGAGCGAAAAACTCAGGAGGTCGTGCAAACAGCCCATACCCGGCTGAAGATGGGAGAGCGGCGTCTGCGCAGGTGTGGATACCTACTGAGAAGGGTGAAGAAACATGCGATACATGAGGCAATGGAATTCGAGACTTCAGGGAAGCGAACACCAGGGGTCCCAAAGTAAAGATGTCGAGACGCGATCAAGAAGGATCTCGCCGCAATCAAGGTGAGAGAAGGTCCTGTAAATAGCTTGAAGAGGAAATGGCTGAAAAAACAGCGGGTCCGCGCAATCAACGCTAAGGGGAAAAAGAAGAGGATATTGTAAATGACTAGTTTCCTATGTAAACTCCCTAGACTTCATTGCTTCTCTCCCAACACTTGATAGGGTTTTCATTTCTATCGTGAAAAAAGATCGTGAGCTGGTTCTATAAACAGAACAGTGCTCGACCACATTTTGCCAAACGTATGGCAAAAACAAAATGAGGGGTTGGGAGTATGGTAACGCAGTCCCCATTACAGCCCAAATATGGCTTCAAGATATTTACAAATCGAGAGGATCT